GTTACTGAAATAATCAGTTTGGAAAATGATGTTTTCATCTTCTACCACCATGGAAATTGATGCAAATAAATAAATAAATAACTGAACAAAATTGCCTGCACTTCCTAGAAGTACATCGCAGACAAATATCCATTCACAYAAGCACCTTTGGTGACAGACTAAGAAACATCCAATTCAGAGTGAAACCTTCACAGAGGTTTAGCTTTMTATGGAAGAATATTCATAGAATATGAATATTATTATTTATAGAATCAAAACCATTCAAAAGCACTTCAGAAATTGGGGATAATCAAAGAAGTTCCTTAAGTTTAGCAAACTATGCTGCTTTTACAAGAACATTAGCCCTTGACTTAAATAAAGGAACAAATGATAAAATGAAATGTACAGAAGTCCAAGACTAAAGACATGAAAAGGAGAAACAGAATCAGTTGGCTAGTTTCTATCTCCACATTTGCTTATCTGTTTCACTAAGAATTCTTATTGAATGCACTCCTAGATAAGGTACACATACCTAAAAGAAAACAGAAGAAAGAAAAAAAAAGAAACAGAAATTCACGAATGCCAGGTGCTGCTCCTGCAGGTACATTCTTTGAAGCACAGCCAGTAGAAATGAATGAAAGGAATACTGAASGTGCGCAGTTCCTGAGCCTTCATTTTAGAAACATTAAGGACACAAATTATTCTGGCAAATACTGGATGTAACCTGCCTCACTGATTATTACAGAGCAATAAGAAGCTGCACCTTCTGGATGAGCATACCRAAGAAGGCTAAAGAAGTTCTGAGCAACACCAGCACAGAGCAGTTTGTGAAATACAGCTTGGTCAAGTATCTCCTTCAGCAGTTTCATTTAGATCAAAAAATAAATGGGGAAAATCCCCGAACAAACCATCACCAAACCATCACCTTCTATGTATTCTAATGGAAGTGCTTCAAACTCAAACTTTCACATGCTCTTTCAAAATTAGCACTACAACTATTTTTCTGCAGTCAAGTGCTGCATATGATAGGCAGAGACAGATAGYTCCCTTTGACAATTAACAGCATAGTAAAAATATATAGTAACCATATATTATAAAAGTATTTATGGCTTATTTTTCAGACCTGGGACATGTAAATGACACACACTTACCTCAAATTTAAATTTCACTCAACTCCGTATGTTTTTTCCCTTGGTCAGATTGTTTTGGGCCTCTATTAAAATAATTTTAGACTGTCCCTAAAAATGCCATGATGAAAAGTGAGCATGRTAGCAGCTGTAAAGTGCTGTTTTAATTTAGAAGGATTAGTGCCATGTTTTCATTTAAGCACCAGAAGATAATGTCTGACCATAATCAGAGGACTTTCATTTGTTTTCCTGATTGTAGGAATGTTTCTAAGATAACRAAATCATCTGGGTATCAAGCGCAGATCTCCAAATCAGTTTTCTAACTGGCCTTAAACTTTTGCTTAAGTGATAAGTGTAAAGCAAAGAAAGTCTCCTCATGGGAGATTTACTGCATTAGTGACTGCTAAACCAATCTTTGTCRGAAGCTCCTCTCCCCACTTCAGTGCTGCTCTTCCAGCTACATTCCACTGTGGAATAATGGTAGTTCACTGTAGTCATTTGACTCTAGAATTTAATTGCTAAATCACTGTCAATAGTTTTGTAATATGATTTCTCTGTTTGTATGCAAAACTATTTCCTATGGCACATRATCTCAGTGAGTCTTAGGGAAAATCAGACAGCAAGTGAATAAATTCATGCTTTACAGGACTGAAAAAAAAATCTAGCACTTTATGGTTTAGAAACTTGAGGCACTTTCAGATCTTGTAGAAGACAGGCGAAACAATAAGCAGGTTAAGAAGAGAAACTCTTAAATGCTGGCAGGCAACTGAACATGATTCATGAACAGGATTCCCTACATTGATTCCAAAAAAAGGGAGAGTCTGGGACTAGATAACAGCTCTTGGAACAGGTAAAACAGGAAGCAAACTTGGGCAAAGCAAAAAAAAATTGTCCCCAGGCAACAGAGTGTGCCACCTAGAACCACAGACACTGAGGAAATGTCACAGAGAGGACAATTATATCCTGCTCCTATTTTGACAGGGCTCAAGATATCCGGCTGCTTCTGGTATTACCCCATCCCAAAAAAAGGGACAAGTTAAGTGGCAACAGCAATTATGAGGAGGAGGAAAATTGGGTCTTCTGCTCCTTCCCACAGTGTAACAAAAATAGCAATTCAGGCTCTCTGTAACTAACTTAATTTTTACTTTGCTCTGTTACTGAGAAGCCTTGAGATGACAGTAGCAGATGCCAAACTGACCATTGCCCTGGCTAAAAAAGGAAACCAAACCCAGTAAGTTGGTTGTTTTGTCTCGGCCTCTAACTCCGGCAGCTCAGCTGCGTACCATTGGCTTTAGTCAAGACTGAATTGATCAATATAATTTWTAATTTTTTAAACAAAAGAGGTTGTCATGTTATAGAAGACTAGTATGTGAAAGACTAYTGAGATGCATGCATAACATCTGAACTTCTAGTAGGATTTTTCATTTAACCAACAAAAAAATTTATTCATAAATTCTTCTTTGTAAAAGAGTATTTTACACAAAGTTTGAAAAAATTAAAATCCATGACACTGAGGTAACTTCTGTCTGTTCTCCAGACCCAAGCAAACATTGTCTAAGTATTGTCACCTGCTGTGCAGAAGACTTAACAAACCGCCAGAAAGGAAAGACAATGCAGTAATTCTTTAAAAGCACTTTGCATAGGATGAAATACACCAGTTAACCGGCAAAGTACACAATTCATATCACCCTGCCGCCCCGAATCAATGCGGTACTGTGGGCAAACCCTCGGGCGGGGTCTGTACGTGGCAGAGACACCTCCCTCGGTCAATACCTTGGGTTTGGACAGTGCATCCGGCTGGCACTTCCCGGAGCCCCGTGTCCCCGCAGGCGGCAGCCTGGGCTCCTCGCCCACTCCACGTTCGCCCGGAGCGGAGCTCGCAGGGGCTGGGCTGTCCCGGCCCTGAGAAGGCCCCTGGGGCCGGCGGCCTCCGYGGGATCTGAGGGGATCGCGGGCGGGTCGTGCGCGCCAAGGGGCGGATAAGAGGGACCCCCAGGGCAGCCCCGGCCCCGCGCTCGGCCCAGGACCGCTCCCTCCCCTCACGGCTCYCGCCCGCCGAGCCCCGCCGGGCGCGCCCGCACGGGCTGCGGCGAGAGGAGAAGCGGCACCGGACGCTGTCCCGCCGCCGGCCACAGCCCTTGCGGAGGCCAAGGAGGAGCGGAGCAGCGCGGTGCCTCCCGCGGCTCCCCCACTCACCTCGTCCGGCGGGAGGATGGCGAAGGCGCTGCCGCGCGAGCGGCACCGGAGCCCGGGAGGCCGGAGCCGGGCGGGCTCTGC